AACGAGGCGACCGTGAAAGACGCAGGCTGCACAGCGCCAGAACCAGGCGTCTGTCCACCTTCCTCCGCAGGCTGAGAAGCACCGCGAGGCGGCGCAGGCTGAGAAGCACCGCGAGGCGGCGACACTTCGGACGAGCCTCGCGGAGCAGAGGCTGCGGATGAACGTTGGACATGGGGGTACGGCCAGGGGAACGCCATTGCAATCAAAACTCAGTGGACTGCAGTGAATGAATGTAGTGGCCAATTGAATGCAGAGGACTGCAGTGTCACTAGCAAGTCCTGAACCAAACACAGCTGTGGCGGAAGGAATATGAAGCGTCTGGCTATTCAAAATGTTGCCCGGCAATGGAGTTCTGGGAACTCGAAGACCAGGAAGTGGACTAGAGTTGGCTCTGGGCATCCAAAATGTAGCCCAGGAATGGAGTTCTGGGAACTCGAAGAGCACGAAGTGGCCTACAGTTGGCTCCGGGCATCCAAAATGTGGCCCGGGAATGGAGTTCTGGGAACTCGAAGAGCACGAAGTGGCCTACAGTTGGCTCCGGGCATCCAAAATGTGGCCCGGGAATGGAGTTCTGGGAACTCGAAGAGCACGAAGTGGCCTACAGTTGGCTCCGGGCATCCAAAATGTGGCCCGGGAATGGAGTTCTGGGATGTCGATGAGCACGAAGTGTATGACTGTTGCATCCGGCCCACCCAGAATGTGGCCCGGGAATGGAGTTCTGGGATCTCGAAGAGCATTTTGTGTGTGACTGTTGCATCCGGCCCCCCAGAATGTGGCCTGGGAATGGAGTTCTGGGAAGGCGAAGAGCACGAAGTGTGTGACTGTTGGTGAAAAACGAGCCCGGCTCATGCCGCCCGGAAACGCCCCAACACCTGCCCGGACCCCCCTGTGGAGTGATCTGTGAGCTCTTTTGAGTCAACTAGAAACCTATCAGTCTTCGCTGTTAGGTAAAAATTCAAAACAGTCAGAACAGATTCAAAAGATATCCAAAAATTATCCCGGCAAAGCAACCTAACAGCGATGTGTAGGAGCATATCTGGAAGCATCCCCCTTAAGATTCAGATGAGAATCCAGTTGTAGAGTTCTGCTGTTCTCGCAGTCGTAGTCGCATTCGCGATGACAGTCGCAGTGGCCTGCATTAGCCTCAGCCTCAGCCTCAGCCTGCCTCAGCATCAGCCTCAGCCTCAGCTTCAGCCTGCCTCAGCCTCAGCCTCAGCCTGCTCCTGCATCAGCCTCAGTCTGCCTGCAGCCTCGGCCTCAGCCTCAGCCTGCCTCAGCCTGAGCCTGCCTCAGCCTCAGCCTCAGCCTGCCTCAGCATCAGCCAGCCTCAGCCTCAGCCTCAGCCTCAGCCTCAGCCTCAGCCTCAGCCTAGCCTCAGCCTCAGCCTGCTTCAGCCTCAGCCTCAGTCTGCCTTCAGCCTCGGCCTCAGCCTCAGCCTGCCTCAGCCTCAGCCTGCATCAGCCTCAGCCTCAGCCTCAGCCTGCCTCAGCATCAGCCTGCCTCAGCCTCAGCCTCAGCCTGCCTCAGCCTCAGCCTCAGCCTGCTTCAGCCTCAGCCTCAGTCTGCCGTCAGCCTCGGCCTCAGCCTCAGCCTGCCTCAGCCTCAGCCTGCATCAGCCTCAGCCTCAGCCTCAGCCTGCCTCAGCATCAGCCTGCCTCAGCCTCAGCCTCAGCCTGCCTCAGCCTCAGCCTCAGCCTGCTTCAGCCTCAGCCTCAGTCTGCCTTCAGCCTCGGCCTCAGCCTCAGCCTGCCTCAGCCTCAGCCTGCATCAGCCTCAGCCTCAGCCTCAGCCTGCCTCAGCATCAGCCTGCCTCAGCCTCAGCCTCAGCCTGCCTCAGCCTCAGCCTCAGCCTGCTTCAGCCTCAGCCTCAGTCTGCCTTCAGCCTCGGCCTCAGCCTCAGCCTGCCTCAGCCTCAGCCTGCATCAGCCTCAGCCTCAGCCTCAGCCTGCCTCAGCCTCAGCCTCAGCCTGCCTCAGCCTCAGCCTCAGCCTGCTTCAGCCTCAGCCTCAGTCTGCCTTCAGCCTCGGCCTCAGCCTCAGCCTGCCTCAGCCTCAGCCTGCATCAGCCTCAGCCTCAGCCTCAGCCTGCCTCAGCATCAGCCTGCCTCAGCCTCAGCCTCAGCCTGCCTCAGCCTCAGCCTCCTGCTTCAGCCTCAGCCTCAGTCTGCCTTCAGCCTCGCCTCAGCCTCAGGCTGCCTCAGCCTCGGCCTGCATCAGCCTCAGCCTCAGCCTCAGCCTGCCTCAGCATCAGCCTGCCTCAGCCGCAGCCTCAGCCTGCCTCTGCCTCAGCCTCAGCCTCAATCTGCCTTCAGCCTCGGCTTCAGTCTCAGCCTGCCTCTGCCTCAGCCTGCATCAGCCTCAGCCTCAGCCTGCCTCAGCCTCAGCCTGCCTCAGCCTCAGCCTCAGCCTCAGCCTCAGCCTCAGCCTCAGCCTGCTTCAGCCTCAGCCTCAGCCTGCCTTCAGCCTCGGGCCTCGGCCTCAGCCTCAGCCTGCATCAGCCTCAGCCTCAGCCTCAGCCTCAGCCTGCCTCAGCCTCAGCCTCAGCCTGCCTCAGCCTCAGCCTCAGCCTCGGCCTGCTTCAGCCTCAGCCTCAATCTGCCTTCAGCCTCGGCTTCAGTCTCAGCCTGCCTCAGCCTCAGCCTGCATCAGCCTCAGCCTCAGCCTCAGCCTGCCTCAGCCTCAGCCTGCATCAGCCTCAGCCTGCTTCAGCCTCAGCCTCAGCCTGCATCAGCCTCAGCCTGAGTCTGCCTTCAGCTTCGGCCTCAGCCTCAGCCTGCCTCAGCCTGCCTCAGCCTCAGCATCAGCCTGCCTCAGCATTCAAAATGTGGCCAGGGAATGGAATTCTGGGAACTCGAAGAACACGAAGTGGCCTACAGTTTGCTCCGGGCATTCAAAATCATACCCAGGAATGGAGTTCTGGGAAGTCCAAGAGCACGAAGTGGCCTACAGTTGGCTCCGGGCATCCAAAATGTGGCCCGGGAATGGAGTTCTGGGAACTCGAAGACCACGAAGTGGCCTACAGTTGGCTCCGGGCATCCAAAATGTGGCCCGGGAATGGAGTTCTGGGAAGTCGAAGAGCACGAAGTGGTACAGTTGGCTCCGGGCATCCAAAATGTGGCCCGGGAATGGAGTTCTGGGAACTCGAAGAGCACGAAGTGTGTGACTGTTGCATCCGGCCCTCCAGAATGTGGCCCGGGAATGGAGTTCTGGGAACTCGAAGAGCACGAAGTGTGTGACTGTTGCATCCGGCCCTCCAGAATGTGGCCTGGGAATGGAGTTCTGGGAAATCGAAGAGCACGAAGTGTGTGACTGTTGGCGAAAAACGAGCCCGGCACCTGCCGCCCGGCAACTCCCAACACCTGCCCAGACCCCCCTGTGGAGTGATCTGTGAGCTCTTTTGAGTCAACTAGAAACCTATCAGTCTTCGCTGTTAGGTAATATTCCAAAGACAAATCCCTGGCTATTTTTTTACAGTTTTTGAATATTCCTCCTGTAGAGGGGCAGGCCCGACCTAAGCTTAGCATGGTACTGCGTGGCGGGCGATGCCGAGGGTGGCTGCGGCCGCCCGCTGGGGGCGAGAGGGCTCGAGGACTCCGCGAGGGGGCGAACGAGGGCGAGGAGGGCGGAGAGGGCGAGGGGACTCCGCGCGGCGAGGGCGCCCCGCTGTAGCTCTCGGAGGCGCGCCGGGCGCCCGCGGATCGCCGGCTACGCGCACGCCGCGGGGGCGCGGGGCGCGCGGGGGCGGCGAGGAGGGGAGGCGAGGGAGGGGGGGCGAGGGGGAGAAGAAGGGAGAAGGGGAGGGAGGGGGGGCGAGAGGGGAGGGAGGGGGGAGGGGTGGGGGAAGGGGGGGAGGACGAGGAGGGGGGAGAAGGGACGAGGGGCGAGGAGGACGAGGAGGGAGCAGGAGGAGGGGGGAGGGAGGGAGGAGTGGGATAGGGACAAGGGAGGGGCCCCTGGAGATCTCCACAGGGGTCTGTCTGGCTTTTCCCCCCGAGACGCTCTCTCGAGGCCCCAGGGCCCGGAAGCGGCCTCCAGAGGCGGAGGAGGAGGAGGAGGAGGAGGAGGAGGAGGAGGAGGAGGAGGCCAGATGTTCAGCGGGGGGGCAGGGGAGCAAGCGGACGCCCGGCGGCCCCCACCTCCCCAGGACCCTCCGGTTCGCCCGACGCCCCAAGCCAGCGCGCTTCGAGGTTCGCGCGCGAGGCCGGCGCGGGCGCGGCCGCCGGCGGGTGCCCGCGGACAGGTGGCCCCTGGCTGCCACGGAGCTTCTCCCCGGGCGTAGGTTCGGTTCCGGGCCTGGCTCCCGAGGAGGAGAAGGTGCAACTTCTCCTGGCTCCGGAGGAGGAGGGGAGCAGGCCTCCCTCCGGGCCCAGGCGTTGCAAACAGAAAAAGTGACGGCTGGCTCTTCGCCCAGGGCGGTTTTGGCAATCTGCGGCCCCGAGACGCCTACGGCCCCGAAGGCCGAGGCCGGCCTCCAGAAGCCAACGACGGCGACAGACCAGCCGCCCCGAGTTCCCCGAGGCGCCTGAGGTCTGGGCCTGTAGGGGGCCGCCTGCGAGCCCTACCCCTGCCCCTCACGACTTCTGAGGGGGAGGGTGGTGAACCCCACTCTCCCCCTCAACATCGTGGGGGGTAACTAGGGGTAGGGTTCGCAGGCGGCCCCCCTAGCCTGGGCCAGGGCCACCCCGAAGCACCAGGACGCCGAAGTCGTGCCCAAGAGCGCCGGCTGCTTTTGGTTTGTGGCGGGGTGGCGGCGCCAGAAGACAGGGAGCAGGTCGGTCGCTGGCCGCCCCCGCCGCCCCGAGAGGAAGGAGGACAGAGGAGGGAGGAGGAGAAGGAAGAGGAGGAGGAAGAAAGAGGAGGGGCGAGGACGAGAGAGGAAGCGGACGAGGGAGAAAGAGGATGGGCGAGGACGAGAGAGGAATAGGACGAGGGAGGAGGACCACGACGACGAAGAGGACGAGCAGGCTGGAGGAGGAAGGAGACGACGACGACGACGCTGACGACGAGGACGAGGACGAGGAGGACGACGACGACGACGACGATGATGATGACGCAGGTGCGCGGAGCAGGCCCTCAGGGCGCCAGTGGCCCCATCAGCTCCGCCATCTTCTGCTGCATCCGGGCGTTGATGTTCGCGAACTCCTCGGCGGGGCGCTGGGCGCCCGCCGCCGCGGGCCGAGCCGGGCGCCGCAAGCGCAGCGCACGCGGCCGCGGGCCGGCGGGCTGCGGCGTCTCGTCCGCCACGTCGTGCCTCTGCTGATCGCCGAGGGTGACGGCCGACGCCGACGACGGCGGTGGCGGCTGTGGCGACGACGACCACGGCGACGACGGCGGCGGCGGCGGCGACGACGACCACGACGACGGCGGCGGCGGCAGCGGGGACGACGTCGGCTGCGTCTTCCATCCGTGCCACATGTTTACACCTGTGGCGAGAAGACTGAACAAGACTCAGGCGAGAGTCCCACTTTGACAAGGAAACGCGCTACATACGTATTGGACTTGCTTTAGACGGGCGTGCGCGGCGTCAAGGCGAGTGCCCCAGTTTGACGACGGTCCGCCCTCGATCCGCGTAGCTGTAGGATACTGCAAACTTCAACATCGCACTGCGCTGCCGACGCGCAGGGAGGAATAATCGATACTAGGACGAGGGATGTGCCAGGACGGATGAGGACGACGACGACGACAAGGAGGAGGAGGGGGAAAGAGGCAGAAGGAGGAGGATCTCCTTTCCCAGCTGTTGCCCCTCCCGACCCGGCCCGACGCGACCCGACACGACCCGGCAAGAAAGGCGACCCTTTGATTTTTGCCCGCCACGACATGGTCACGCTTCGGCTGCACATCCTCCCCGCCCTCATGCGCGAGAGGGTCACCTTCCAAGCCGCCTGGACCAACTGCGTCGAGGCGATGAAGGCTGCTGTACACCCGTGGGGCAAAGTCAGAGGCCCCATAGCTGCGCTAGTTACCACGCTTATCCAGAACGGATGGGACCCCCAGCTCCCCTGGCAGTGGAAGGACCCCTACGGAGATATCTACTACTAGGTCCCCGGCGAGGCCCTGCCAGGAAGAACTCACTTCTACTTGGAAGCGTTCTCGGGCCCTAACCCAGGATGGCAACAGTGCGTCTTAGCTGAAGTTGAAGGCACTTTCGAGCAGCAGATCTGGAGGGACTTTGCAGCCAAACATTTTTGTGGCAGAGGCCTCGAGCGCGGTGCCGACCTTACCATGCTCTTAAGGCTCATCCATGGCCATCGGCGTGCGCAACGCCATGGACATGCAGCACTGCTCGAGCGCATAGCTACAGGAGCACTGTGGCCAGGAGATCGGCGTTTCCCTGACGAGCCTGATCGACAAACATGCCCTCGGTGTACAACTGCACGCCTCCACCCCCTGCCTGTCGAAGACATTCTACATCAACCGTGAAAGTGCCCATGTCTCAACGCAACAGGGCACACAGACTTTGACTTCCTCCCGCAGATGGAAGGCGAACATGAAGAGTGGGTTTGTTTTTGGCATCGTGGAATCGTTCCGATCCTCTGGGTTTACCGGCAAATGGACAAGCTCCCAGAATGGAGGTTTGAGTGTTCTGGAGGTGTTCTTCAGGATCAGCGTCTACAGCTCCCCCCACATGCCCTGATAGGTACTGATGGAAGCGGAGGCGACCACACCAGTGACCCGAGGCTCCGTAGATGTGGTTGGGGTTTTGCTATTTGGTCCCAGGATGCCATCCTTGGGTGAGCCTGGGGCCCTCTTCTCGGACGGCACCAGACGGTGCCACTGGCGGAGCTGGAAGGCCTCACCCAGGCCCTCAAACACACCGAGGGACCAGCCACCTTTGTCGTAGACTGCGCCTACGTTTTGAAAGAAAATCATGCTTGCCCAGGCCAGGTCCCGCCCTTGCATTCTGCAGCATGGGCTCGATGGTGGCATGGTTTTAACGCCAGGCCAGGGGAAGAGCCACCTCACAGAGACTGACATAAGCCGACTTGTCTCCGAGGGTGGTTTTCCGATGTATTGAGGCTGCTGACGAGGCGGCTAAGAGAGGAGCAGCCCTCGCCCAGCTTCCCCCTGAGTCCCTTGCCGAGGTTGCCCAGATCGATTCCCTGGCCAAGAAGGTGTTGGAACACTTGCTCGAGGTAGGTATGGCGGAGGTCCTGGCCAGGCAGGCTGACGCCAGAGCCACAGGAGCCCCAACCCGAGCCGAATTCGTTGCCGCCCGCAGAGAGCGGCGTGATGGCCGAATCGCTGCACGACTGGACGCCCGCCAAGCTACCACCCACCAGGTGGTTCCACGGGGAGGCTCCTTCCTCTTTTTGTTCTGTATGCCTGACGGCACCTACCCGCCAGCTGCCCACCAACGAGTGGCTGGCGGCCCCGTGTAGAGGCCTTCCCCATTAGATCCACACTTCCCACAGGATTCGGTGCCTGCGCGGGCTGTGGTGGTGCGAAGTGTGTCGTGGTTCGGGGCACACTCGCTTCAATAGCTTGGGGATGGAATGCCAGCGCCCAGCTGCTGGCAAGAAAGCGCTGGATAGGCTTGCAAGAGGACTTCACCCACCCAATCGGGATGCCTGGCCAGACAAGCCATCCAGCCCCATTTTTCAAGGGCCCTGGCATCTGTACCAGACTCAGGCCCTCGTGGAGTCGTTCCCTGGAGGAGGAGGAGGAGGAGGAGGAGGAGGAGGAGGAGGAGCAGGAGGAGGAGGAGGAGGAGGACGAGGAGGAACGCGGGGCGCAGTCATTTCAAAACGAAGACCCAACACCACAGGAGGCTCTGGAAGAACGCATCGTCGGAGACCTGGGTCCCGAGCAGATTACTGACGGCCGCCAGGGACCAGGCACGGACCCCCTGGGGCCGAATACAACCACAAGCCTCCCGACGCGCGGCTCTTCACGACGTGAGGTCGGCACGGCTGCGTGTGCGGGAGCTGGGGAGGCGCCTCCGCGGCTTGGTCGGAGCGCGAGTGCTCGACCGCACTCGACCGCACCCGCCACGCGGGCCTGGCAAACAAAGCTCCCGCCCTTCCCCCCCCCCTTTTCTTCCCCACCTTGCCCCCTCCCCCCATCCCCTCCGCCCTCCCCCCCTCCTCCCCCTTGACCCCCCCCCCCTCTCCCGCCCCTCGCTCGGTCCTGATTCGTGGCGAGCTTCGTGTGGTTCTGGAACACGGCGCGCTCGATGTCCTCCGAGGCCAGCCCGAACTTCCTCTCCACCTGCCGAGCGGGCGGGGGGGCGGTGGCCTCCAGGGCCCCTGGCCGCCTCGTGCTTGCGCGCCTCCGCCCGCCGCAGGGCCCGTCGGCCTCCCCCTGATCCTTTTGCTGCCGCCGCTCCTCGCTTCTCGCCCCTCGCTCCTCGATCCTCCTGCTCATGCCTCCCCTCCTCCCTCTCCTCTCCTCCTCCTCCTGCTCCTCGTCCTCTCTCCTCCTCCTCCTCCTTCTCCTCTCCTGCTTCCCCTCCTCCTACTCCTCCTCCTCCTCCCTCCTCCTCATCCTCCTCCCCTCCTCCCCTCTCCTCCTCCTCCTCCTCCTCCTCCTCCTCCTCCTCCTCTCCTCCTCGTTCCTCTTCTTCATCCACGTCCTCCTCCTCCTCCTCCTCCTCCTCCTCCTCGTTCCTTCTCCCTCCTCCTCCCTCTCCTTTTCCTCCACCTTTTCCCTCCTCCTCCTCCTTCCTCTCCTCCTCCTCCTCCTCCTCCTCCTCTTCTTCCTCCTCCTACTACTACTCATATTCCGCCCCTCCTCCTCTTCCATTCCTTTTCCTTACAGATGCATAAATCGTCCCTGTCGCATTCTGAGGCTGGTCGAAAGGGCAGATTGGGCGTTTCGATTGAGCCTTCCTCCCCATGTATGACCCTGGTGCTTAAGCATGAACAACAGCTTCATAGATGGAGGGCGGGCCGCTTCCAAAATATGGCTCTGGACTTGGCGCCGCGCAAATTCGCTTTAAACAAAAAATAGCTGCACGGATTGAGGGCGGGACCTTTTCAAAATGTGGCTCTCGCATTAGCGCTGCGGACACTCGTTTCAAAATGCAAGAGCTTCGCGGATTGAGGGCGGGTCGTTTTCAAAATGTGGTTCTCGCCTTAGCGCCGCGCACACGCGCTTTTAAATGGGAAAGCTTCAATCTCAAAATGTGGCTCTCGCATTAGCGCCGCGTAAGATCGCTTTAAACATTTGCAATCGTGTCACGGATTCAGGGCGGGTCGTTTTCAAAGTGGGGCTCTCGAATTGGCGCCGCGCACATTCGTAGTACAAACTTGAAAACGCTTCACGGATTAAGGGCCGGTCGTTTTCAAACTGTAATTTTCGGTTTGGGGCCGTGCATATTCGTTTTTGAGATGTGAGAGGGCTTCACGGATTGAGGGCGGGCCGTTTTCAAAATATGGCTCTCGCCTTAGCGCCGCGCGCATTCGTTTAAAACACTCGCACGAGTTTCACTGATTATCATGGTTACTGTATTGTGTCTTGGAATGATTCAGGATTGTCAGGGCGCAACAGTTACGTTGATTCGCTGTGCTGAAGTCCCAGGAACGGCGTTCTGGCACGATTCAGAATCGCCAAGACGTAAAAGTCAGGTAAGCTCGTGGCGTTGGAGCCCAGAGAATGAATGGTGTTTTGGCACGCATAAAAATGTTCACACGCTTGTCCCTCAACGGGGCAATCCCCTAAATGGAAATGACCCCATGTAGGGGCCAATGAAGAGGGATCTTGGGGGAAGCGTGTATTTCAACATCGTTGATGAGTCTTGGGTTTACAGGGGCGCTCCTCCTCCTCCTCCTCCTCCTCCTCCTCCTCCAACCCATCATCCTACCTTCTACTCCTGCTCCTCCTCCTTCTCCTCCTCCTCCTCTTCATCCTCCTCTTCCTTCGATGCTCAGGCTTTCGACGCTTGAACGAGTCGCTGTAAGCGCTGGCCCTTCGGAGAGTGGTGGGGGCAGAACTCACGAAAGGGAACTCACGGGGGCAAAATTACAGACGAACTCCATCCTCTACGGCTTCAGGTTCGGCCCGTGAATCTTCCTCCTGAGGCCGCGTTTTTTGCACCAAAACTTCAGAAGTGACACCGTCTGGGATACGCCTGGGCCGACGTGGCGCCTGGCTGCTAAAATCTGAGGCCTCTGCCGCTGACATCACGATGTGACGACCACTGCCAGCCAGGTGTCGCCACTGCCACGTTCGCCACATAACGCGACAATCGACGCGATCATTGTGGCAGCCACGCTCGTAGATGTGGTCATCTCGAGCGTACAGGGGCGCGCTTCACCCGCCACCACGGGACAGTCAGTGCAACAGGCTGCACGATCATCGTCTCCAACTTGTGGGATTCCTGAATGCTTGTGGGATTCCTGGGATTTTGAGTCTATCCACGCCGCTGGCTCGAAATTTCCGGGGGATTGCACGCGGGGCCATGGGACCCGCCGACGTGCACAAGGGCAACAACTGGGACACCAAAAACCGAAAGAAGCATGGACCAAGGCAGACGGGGCTTCCCGTCGGCGCTGGCTCGTGAGACACCCGCCAACTTCCCGCCAAAGGTGGAACAGAAAGATACCGATGCCGCTACTCCTCAGACCACTCCTGGGGTGCGTTCTGACCAGGAGTCCGCGTCGAAGCCAGCCAACGAGGACATCCACTGCTTTCCGACGAGGGCGGCCCTGGAGACCCAAAGGGCGAAGACAGGGCAAGGGCATCGGGCATCGGCATCGGCATGCTCTTGACCTCTATCTCCTCCCTTTCCTCCTCGTCCTCCTCCTCCTCCTCCTCCTCGCCTTCTGCCCGCAGAGGATCCCCCCCTGCGGTGCCCGGCGTTCCTCGGAGAGCCGGGCGAGCATCCCGAAAACGGGCCACTCCCCCCCGCGCCCCGAGCGCTCATACCCTCCGCTCGACCGCGGCGCGGCTGCGCAGGCCGCTTGCGCCCTGCCCGCCGCACGGGAGCGCGCGAGCGCCGGCCCGCGCGGGCGAAGGGGGCGCGCCGCGCGCTCCGGGCGCGCCTCCGCCCTCCCAGCCGGCACGGGCCCGCCCGCCCCACGCCCCCGCGGCCCCCGCGCGGGGGCCTCGGTGCTGACGGCGGCTTGCACGGCGAGGGTCACCGTCTTCAGGTCGTAGTCCCTGCTGCCCTTGATGGACGCGAAGTGGCTGCGCGAGGCGCCGGCGGCGGCAGCGGGCTCCGCGGGGCGGCCAGGAGCTCGAGCAATGAGGGGAGCGGACTCACCACAGAATCGGTTTGCCCCACGGCTGGCTCTTTGTCGAACTGATGAGAAGTATTACGTGCTTTCTTTTTTCCAGATTCGACGAGAAGATTTAAAATCAATCAGTGGCCTTGGGCCCCACTTCCCCGCCCCCGAAAGAAACAAGAGGGCGAGCGCCCGCCCGCCACTCCGTCGCCGCCCCGGGCGAGCCTGCGCTGCCACAGGAGCCCGCAGAAGGCCTGCCACGGCCCACGCGCGTGGGCGGGCTGGGCCACGAGACCACTAGACAGAAGGCGCGCCTCCCCCCTCGAAGACGAAGCCAGGACGAGGATAGATCCGGGCGAGGATCGATGGGGCAGCTCTGAGGCCCGGCGGCTCTGGAGGATGTCTCGGGCGCCGCGGCCCTCTCAGAGCGCTCTGGGACGCTCTGAGCGTCCCGGAACGTTCTGGAACGGCTCTATCCTCGCCCTAGCCCCGTCCGACCCTCTCCTCCGTCGCTGCTCCGGGCGCGTCCGCGCTGCCGCTGCCTCCCTGCGCGGCCGGCGAGAGCAGCGAAAGGGCCCGGGGATGCCCCCCCCAGAGGCCCCCCGAGAGGTCGCCCCACGAGACCGCAGGAGGCCTCCAAGAGGCCCCCGATCCACGCCGCTGGCAGGGTGGCGGGACGACACGAAGGCCGCCTGGCCGGCCCCGGGAAGCCCTTGCACCAACAACGTTGACGCCTCACGGTTGCGCTTCCGCCGCCTTCCGCCGACCTCCCGCCACCATATTTTACTCCCGCCGCGGCTCCCGCCGGCCTCCCGCCGAGCGCGAGATGCGCCGAGGCTGAGGCCGAGGCTCCTCGTGAGGCGCCCCAAGCAGAAGGCGAGCGTCAAACCGCCCCTCCATGCGGCCGAGCTGCCGCAGCATCCCCGCGCGGTCGGCGAGGGGCGAAGGGCGCGACGGGCAGCGAACTTGCGCAGGGAGGCGTCCTTGGCGTCGTCGTCGCACGCACGCAAGCCGTCCTCACCGTCGTCGTCGTCACACGAATGCGTCGTCGGGAAGCGCGGGGAGTGGCTCGGAGGAGAGGGGAGGGCGGAAAGACGAGGCACGAGGAGAGATGGGGGTCTTGCCTGACTAGGCGCTCCAGTTCTTCGATCATGAAGGTGTGCACCTTTATCAGCTTGGCGTCGTCTACAACCTCCGCAGGTGCGGCACGATTTCTCTGGAGAGGCCGCGCAGAATCAGCACCCGACCTGCTGATCGCTCCTCCTCGTCCTCCTCCTCATCATCATCACCACCATCATCATCATGATCATCATCATCATCATCATCATCATCATCATCATCATCATCATCATCATCATCATCATCATCATCCTCTTTCTCCTCCAATTCCTCCTCCTACTCCTCATATTCCTCCTCTTCCTCCTCAACCTCAAACTCCTCCTCATCCTCCTCGTCCTCCTCATCATCAGCAGCATCAGCATCATCAGCAACAACATCATCATTATCATCATCATCATCACCATCATCATCACCATCATCATCATCATCATCATCGTCATCATCATCATCATCATCATCATCATCATCATCATCATTATCATCATCGATATCATCACCACCGCCATCACCTCATCACCACCGCCATCACCATCACAATCACCATCAAGATTCCTCGTGATCATCATCATCACCAACACCATCCTCATCGCCATCATCATCATCAGCATCATCATCAGCATCATCATCACAACCAGCAGCACACGCATCACCGTCATCATCATCGTCATCATCAGTATCATCATCATCACCATCAGCATCACCACCATCAACAACGACAGCAATATCATACACAACCAACACCATCCCTCAACCATATCACCATCAACATCATGAGCATCACCACCAGAGTCCATCATCATCAGCATCATCATCATCAGCACGATCATCATCATCAGCAGCAGCACCAGCAGCACCACCACCCGCAGCATCGTCGTTAACATCATCACCAGCATCAGCAGCACCATCATCACCAGCATCATCATCATCATCAACATCATCACAATCACCATCACCATCAAACCACCATCATCAGCATCATCATCGCCACCATCATCACAATCACCATCAGCATCATCAGCATCACCGCCACCACCATGACCACCACCACCACCACCACCACCATCATCATCATCATCATCATCATCATCATCATCGCCACCACCATCATCGTCGTTATGATCACCATCATCATCACCACCATCATCACCACCATCATCAGCAGCATCAGCACCATCATCATCATCACGACCACCACCACCATCATCATCATCATCAACATCATCATCACCACCATCATCCTCCTTCTCATCATCATCACCACAAGCACCACCATCAGCATGATCCTCATCACCATCATCATCACCATCATCGTAACTGTCGCCATCATCGTTGCCAGCATCACCATCATCATCATCATCAGCATCAACAACATCAGCATCATCATCCTCACACTCCTCATCATCATCACTATGATCGTAAACACCGTCATCATCCGCATTATCATCATCATCATCATCATCATCATCCTCATCATCATCATCATCATCATCATCATCATCGCCACCACCATCATCATCGTCATCAGCAGCATCATCATCAGTATCAGTATCAGAATCAGTATCATCATCATCATCCTCATCGCCGTCGTCGTCCGAATCATAATCATCATCAACAGCATCAGCGTCATAATCATCATCAGCAGCATCGGCGGCAGCACAATCATCAGCAGCAGCATCATGACCATCGTCATCATTTCCATCATCATCAGCATCATGATCCTCATCCTCCTCCTCCTCATCCTCATCATCATCACCACCACCATCAGCATCATCACCAGCAGCATCATCATCATCAGCATCCTCATCTTCATCTTCATCCTCACCCGCAAGCTCATCATCATCCTCAACCGCAGCCTGTCCTCCTCGAACCTCCTCGAACCTTCTCGAACCTCCTCGAACCTCCTCCTCCTCCTCCTCCTCCTGCTGCTGCTGCTGCTGCGGCGGCCCCGGGGCTCCCGAGTCCGCGGGGAGCCCCAGGGCTTTCGACGAGCGCCGGCACGCACAGCCGCCGCGCGCGCCCGCCTGCCCGCGCGCCGCCCTGCCGCCGCCGGCCACCAGCGTCGCCGCGGGCGCCCTCGCCGCAGCAGCCCCCGGCGGCGACTCGGATGCGGTTGCTGCGCCCCGCGCGCGCCGCGGCCGCACGCCGACCAGCCGTCTGGCGCCGCGCTGCCGGCGCGCGCCGCCGCCGCCGCCGAGCCGCCAGCGGCGCCGCCCCTGCCCGGCCCAGCCCCACCCGCGCTGCAGCTGGTGGCGTCACGCAGCGCCCACCTCGGCCGCCAGACGCCAGCGCGCTGGCGCCGCCCGACTACCCTGCCGCCTGCGACAGCGCCGCCCGCCTCGCGGCATCCTCACCCACCACCACCACCACCACCCACCAAACACACCAAACCACCACCAACCACCACCACCACCACCACCACACACCACCAACACCACCACCACCACCACCACAACCACACCACCTCCACCTCCACCAACCACCACCACCACCACCACCACCACCACCACACCACCACACCTGCTCCTCACTCCCCTCCTCCCGAGGCTACAAGCACCCGCCCTGCCCCCCGGCACAGGCAATCTCCAAAGCGGCCCCAAAAGGCCCACCACCCGCTGCCCCCCACCCCCTCTGGCGCTCAACGCCTCGCCGTCGCCCCGCGTGGCGGCGACGGCGTCCGCCACAGCCCATGATCCTCGCCATGCCCTCTCGCAACCATG